TCTATAGGAAGAATAGATTGCAAAACTAGCTTTTTGTACAGCAGAGTATTCTCTACTCCAAGATATGTTCATCAAAGCCAGACATTTACGAGCTTCACTTTCCCACATAAATACAAAGCACTTAGCCAAATATCTACAAGGGTATTAAAGTTTCGGCATGCCAAAGATAACTTTACTTTCCCGTTCCTAGGTAGCTTTCGATTCAATTGCAACTAGTTAGGTAGCATTTAATGTGATATATATTTTATAGAAAAATATATCACATCAATTTTTCTGCCTTTTCAATTTTAGCTGACCTTCAATTATTTTCGCAGGACAGCTTTCAATTCTAGTTCAATTTTAGTTCAACTTACAGCAAGCTGCCACATTTTATTCAGCACACATTTCAAATCTCTTTCGAGTGCGCACTTCAACTGCAACTCAAACATTACGTTCGATTCAATGCCAATGAAAAGTTGGCCAAGCGTAAACCACATTCAAGCAAATTAGCTGCCTTTAAATTAGTTAAGTCAAGCGCCATGCGCAGCGCCATGAGGTGCCCCTCATTTTCTATCTGGCCATAAAATATGTCAGCTACTTAAAGCAGCATAAAAATTAACAACACGCTGCGTATACGTAATGCTCAAGGGCTTGTGGAGGCGCCCCGAAAAGTGATTTATGCGCATTTGTGTATAGAATTTAGTTGCAGTCAACAAGTTAATTTCAACTCATGGCCATAAAAATGTTAACAATATGCAACGGGCGAGCTTCGAAATAAATCAGCGCATAAAAATGTTGTAGATACCTACTTTGAATGGAAAACTTTTGCAGGATTTGCGCTAAGGGAATTTGCCGAGTTGCCTGCTTAAAATTTACACGCATTTCAAGTAATACTACTTGCCAGCTATTCGAGTGCGTGTGCGGTTGTGTCTGAGTGTCTTTCGGCTTGAAGCTGATAACCCTTGTGGCAGGCAACATGTCTATGGCAACCGTGCCACAAACAGATGCACAAACAACGCAGATGTCAAATTTAACAGCGGCTTTAACAGCGGCAACCGCAGCCTTGGCACTCTTTCTGCTCGCGACAACTGTAAATTAATATGACAGCAAGCATTCAGGATTCTAGCTAAATCCTTGCCCCCCCAATCCCCTACTAAGCAACGAGAAGCTGTTCAACCTGTGCCCCGAGTTCAAGGCTCGCGGACATCAGGCGCAGACATAAATAAAGTTCTTCAACATTTTGCGACGTGCATAAAAATTTAATTAACTTATTTGTGGACTTAATGCGCATTACAACAGGTTAATGAATGTCTATTAATATTTACTCTCGAATAATGATATTCTATTAGATTAAAAATAAAACATTTTGTCTACACGGGAGCTCAATCCCCATACAACATAACTTGTAAAAGGCTTGATTAAAGATTAGATTAAATTAAAGCTAAAATTAAGACCTAGTTATGAGCTCTCGACTAGTAAATACCCTGTGTTGCGTCGGTTCGTAGCCGAAAATATTCTTTTTTTTTTTTGCTCTGAACCCAACGTTGCACAAAAGTCTGTCGATTCTTATCCCAATGCCAGCATATAAGTATAAATATACTAGCAATATATGTATTGTTTGTATGGATGAATGTTAGTGCATGCATGCACATATGCATGCATTTATGCATATGTGTATGCATGCATGTTTGTTGTCTACCACACGCAGAGCAAGCTTATTTGTTGCTGTGCTGCAAATTACAAAAAAAAACGAATTTCCACCAAGTGCTTTTCTCCTAAATTCTCAAGTAGGATCTGCAGTTTTTTATGCTTAGCTACATATGCAACTAACATGCCTGCATGCACACATGCACAGAAATATATTTGTATGCATGCATCAATTTATATATGTTAAAATGCATACATGCATATATATATGTGTATGTATGTACATATGTGTGGATGTACACATCTATGTATGTATGCATGTATGCATATATGTAGGTATCCGGATATGTATTCAAACATGTTTGTATATATACAAAACAAGAATGCATGCATGGATGTACTAACAGGCACAAACTAAAATCGTTTAAATGTGCATATTTGTCACATGATGTAACTGAAGTGAAAATTTCAGATTCCCAAATCTTACGGTTTGGACTGTGCGTTGATCACCAATCAGTCAGTCAAGCAGTCAGTCAATCAGTCAATCGGGTCAAACCGTTTCATATTTAATGGGATAATATGCAATCTTGCCAAAAATGTGTCATAAATTTGAATGTGGCTCTGGAAATGTTTATCCCAACCTTATTTGGAACTCGCAGCTAAGTTATATAAAAGTAAATAGATAAGGTCGCCAGACCTATGTCAAATGGGCGGGTCGATCTGAATAATAAGTACAAGGAAAAATAGCTATCGCTGGCTATCGCTCTCTCTCTCTCTCTCTCTATCTATCTCTCTCTCTATCTCTATCTAAATGAATTTTCTTGCAATTTAAGTCGTAATTTGATTTGCTTTAATCGAGTCCAAACAGTTTTTCCGACAAACTAAAAACTTGCTGGCAACGTGATGCCCTATAAAAATTCTAAGCGAAAGGCAGCATAAAAATAAAAACAAATTGCACCGAGCAAAACAAAAATGTAACCAAATAAGCAAAACATTTACTACAAATTTAAGTTTGTTTTTTATTTTATGTGCCCTGCATTTTTACATTTTTTTGGTATATTGCGAGAGCGAACGAACAAGTATGCAAAACAATTGTCGCAGAATTGCAGAAATAATAAAAATTCAATTAAGCCGCCAGTTGAATTAAAGACTTGGGACACATTTCAGATTTGTATATACATTTTTTTCTGCTTCATGTTGTTTTTACTGTTTGTTTAAAAAAGTATTTGCCCAGGCAGTTGTTTGTGTGTGTGTGGGTGGGGGGCACGTGTTCGACACTTGCCGTCAGATTTTTGTTGTACTTTGAGTTTCGTTTTATTTTTTATGTACAATTTTTTGTTGTATTTTAGCGCCTGGCAAATTGTGGAACATAACAATAAGCGCACAACGAGCTGCAACAACAATTGCGAACGAGAAACAGAGATGGGAACGAGAACCAGAATAAGAATCGGAATGAGAATCTGAATGAGAGTGAGTACAAGAACAACGAGTGTGTACTGTAATAATGATAATAATCATAAAAGCGAGTCCTTGTCGCCCGTCGGCTTTGGCTGTTGGAGCGTTAAAGCCGCCAATGCCGCAGCCACAGCCACAGCCACAACCACAGGCCCACCGCTGGCCCACAAACCAGAAGGCACGCCTCTGCGGCCGCCTCTGAGTTATGCTGATGCCACGGACATGAAGGCCGTTCTCTAGCTCGGCTTGGTCGGGATGCCTAGCCTGCCCTGCCTGTAACATGATTTAATTAAGGTTCTACATGTGCTAAGTAGATTTTATTCTTTTGCCTACTTATTTGCTTTCGCTTTCGCTATTTTTCTGCCTCTCTTTTATACCCTGTACGCATTGAATATGGCTTAAAGGGGTATCTTGTTTATGAGCTGAGTCAATCTCTTCATGTCCGTTTGTCTGTTTGTATGTCCGTTTAATAGAAGTGCTCTTTATTTATAATATATCTTCTCCTTAACCTACGCAAAACGAGTTTATCTTTCGATATATATTCTTAGCATAATAAAAGCTGTGCACAGGGCAACTCATAGTCGTACATACCCGACACTCTTACTTTGCCTTACTTGCCTTTCGTTGCCTTCAGTCCATAATTGATTTAGCCGTTTACTGCATTAAACGGCTGGCAGCAAAAACTTGGCCATAAATTAACAAAGCGTCCAACGCTGCGTATGAATTATATTTGATTTAGCAAAAAACCAGCCCCCACCTCCGACCCCGCCCCCTTGCTCCCTCCACAGACTCAACTTCATTACAATGTACACAGCTTAATATAGTAGAAAAATGTACATTGCATTACATTTTTGCCATGATAACACAATATTGTTCATATTGTTCCTGTTCAGTCTGTGCCTCGCATGAGCCTGCACTTTTGGTCCCCTCTCTGACTGCCTCTGTCTCTCCCTCTCTCTCTCTCTCTCTCTCTCTCTCTCTCTGTCTGTCTATCTGTCTGATGTGATAAACAAAGTGAATGCCTGATTTCATGTGAGCAAAGTTTTTTTTCCTGGCGGCGTTAGTGTTGTGCCATTGACACCCATCTGAAATGTGAAATGTGCCCGTCATTCATATTTGATTTGATTTAATGTTAGTCCCGGACAAAATCCATTAACAAAACCAAATTGTAAGCCCAAAAGCTGCAAACTCTGATTATTATTCTATAGTGCTTGTCTAAGAGCCTAAGAGGATCTCAAAATTCTGCAAGCTGGAATTATCATAATATATAATAATAAGCAAGCATCTGATGAAATGCCTTGACTAGATTTCCAATTCTTAAGACTATGTGAAAGACGAACAAATTTTCTTTACGATTAACATTTTGGTCCAGGTTTGACTTCTCGACTTGTTCGGATTTTTAAAGTTTAGTATTAAGCTTTGAATTCTCATAATTCATATTTTAAACTAATCCTTGTTTAATTTTCAAGCCTAGGCATTCAAAATCAAGTTCATAAATCAAGCTAGTTTCTAATTTTAATACTTAAGCTGCATTTATCACAGAAATGCGAGCTGAACTGAATGGCATTCCAGCTAAAAGATTCTTTTGTATCTGCGAGATACTTTTGCATCTTTAAGATACCTTGCAATCTTAAGCGTTGGAAATGCATTCGAATGCAATGCATAAGTAATTAAATCAAATAACAGGCTAAACTAATGTTGATGATTTCCATTATGGCTGCCTGCAGGCGGTTGCAAGTAGTTAAAGGATTAATCAGGCAGCTGCCACAACATGGAAATAAACGCAAGAACCTGCAGACAATTGCAAACACAGGACAAATGAAAGTCAAATACATATATATGCATATGTATAAAATGTGTATATATAAAAGGATATACATATTTATATATATAAAGGATATGTGCTGCTGTGTACTTACATATTGACTTAATGCGTTGTTCTGGCTGCTGTGCACTCGCCTCGGGCTCAGTTGCAGTCGCAGTCGCTGTGGCTGTTGCAGTTGCAGTAGCCGTTGCAGTGGCAGCTGCAGCTGCAGTTGCAACTGCAATTAAAGTTGCCTTCATCGTTGTTGCATTTATCATGGCCAACAGCAGCAGCAACAGCAGCAGCTTAACACACTTGGCCAGCCTGGCCATGATCCTAGCTGCAAATGCGGCCGGCACTTGTTTGGTTTAATTATATGTCCTTATTGTTTCACTGGCGCTTGATTAGAGGCATTTGATGAATTAGTCTAATGCTCTGGTCCAGGCTACGGCTCTCGATTTGCACTGGTTTAGTTACGCATGATTTGCCAGCTGCCAGTTGAGCACTGCAATTGGAGAGAAGCCCAAGAATAAACATTCAATTTATCTAATTAATTCAACACATCTAGTTGCAACGTATCTCAGCATTATCAAATGTTCCAGCACAAAAGTATGCTATGGAAACATGCAGCTTCAGTTTCTTCCATGTCATGTTCATTTTCATTTTAATTATTTTAACAAGAAAATAACAGTAATTAAAATAACATGACCAACACTTAATTGTACGCACATAAATTTGTCAAAGTTGACATTTTCTGTGATATTTGCTGTCCGTTTAACTAATCATTGTTGCGCTTAATTAATTCCACAAATACTTAAATAAATATTTCTTAGCCCTCGGCTTAAACAATTGTTTGATGAAAATTCAATCGAATGACATATGCCTGTCTTAATGAAAATAAAGATGAATATCTTAAAATTAATTATGCTCATTGATGGAAGTTTCAACTAATGATTTGAATAGAAAGACCAATATCAAAAATTTAATTACAGCCAATAATGAAAGTTTAAGCTAATGAAATATAATTAATGAAAAGAAAATTTAACTATTAAAAAATTAACTATTAAATTTATCAAATTAATCAGTTCAAATATTTAGTTTATTTCCCATTTTGATCACTTGCCTTTGTACATTTGTATGTTTATTATCACCACACAACAAGTATTGTTGTATTGCGCCCTACTATGCGATTCTCATGAATTCAATTAGGCCCCACATTGATGAAAGGCTATTTGGAACTCATTGGAGTCGGCCGCCTTCCATTTCTTACTTAAATAATAATACCAAGAATGATAATAAAATCAATAATAAATTGGACCTCTCTTTTTTTTGTTTTCCGTGAATAATTTAAATACAAAAAATAATAGCATCTCTCTTTATTTATTAACAGTAAATAATATTTGTAAAACGAATAACAACAATAATATCAGTAATAAAGTATAAAAAAGGCAACTCATAATAATTGTATTACTAATAACATTAACAATAAAAACATTCTGCGTGCAATGCAATGTAATCAGTTTTGCATTTTTAACTTTCTGAGCTCTTGTCTCGTTTACCGCTTACCGATTTCCGATTACCGATTACAAATTACCGTTACTGCTCAAATAACAATTAACTGTTTGGCATTGCCGCAGCTGGTTCGTGTTAATTTCATATCCACTTGGCGCATTGTTTGATTGGCGGCCAATGCCCAAACAGCTCATTAAACAATAACAACAACAATTATAACAGCCCAGCGAGAGAGTACGAGGGAGAGGGAGAGAGGGAGGGAATGCAATTGGTTATATGTAAGCATTTAAAAGCCGTGATTGTCTCAGTGTGCGTGTGTGTGTGTGTGCGTGAGTGTGTGTGCGTAAAATCGGTTACGGTTTGGTCAGCTTGTAGTTTGGCCCGGATTTGCGCTCTTGTGTTGATGCTGTAAATTAATGCAGCTAGCAGAAAATTTTCATTGTTTGTTATTGTTTATGCAAAAATTAACATTTTAATTGGATTTTCAGCCATTTCGTGTTTACGAGGCTGAGTAATCAATGTATGTGAAAATCCCTTTGAACCCAGACACGAACTTTGCACCCAACACACACACACACACACACACACTCGCAAACTCTGGCATATTTCGGAAAAACTATCTGTGTGTGTGTGTGTCGTATTTTGTTAATATTTATGCAGTTGTTGTCGTTGGCATTTTACAAAAACAGATAACGGTCGAAAGTAAAGAAACACATCATTATTTAACAGAGAAAAAATATATGTATGTCCAGAACTTCATGCCAAAAATATGTGGGTAGCATAAACATTGACACAACAGCAAGCAAGCGATGCTCGACCAGGTACAAATAAGCTAGAAATACTATCAGACAATTGTAAGATATATAGAGATATATATGGGCTAGTTAAACTATGAGATTTAAAACTGATAATGTTTAGGCTCATGTCATATTCTAATTTCGTATATTATAAATAGATAGGCATTCGATATTTTCAGTTCTTATAATTTGAGAGTTAAACAAAACTTCAGTTACGTTTTTCAGACTTACATAACGTACATAACAGAAAGTCTAACATAGCAATTAACATAGTTGTAATTAACATAAAATGTACGTAACAGCGACAATGCAGACTTGCATACATTTAACTGTTATTGTAAAACGAAATCCCATCACAGCTGATCTGATCAGCCTAAAGCAAAGAGAGCTAATACGATACGACTCTAAAACTGTGGTGCTTGTGCAGTGACTGTCAAACTATATCTCTTGATATCTGAACTACATCTAATGAGCTTTTATTCCCTATTCCAACGTGTTCATGTGAACTTTTATGCCATTTCGTTTAGTCCGAATAAAGCATCAAAAGAAATACAAAAAAAAAACAGAATATTTACTTTGACATCAATAAAAAAAAAATAAAAATAATTAAATAAATTAAGTATGAGCATGAGTAAAATATTTAAATTAAAAATTTCTTAACTTTTTCCCTTGAATTTAAATATCCCAACATATTCAAACTACAATTAAATATAATATACCTATAATATTATACTCTATATATATGTATAAAAAATCTTCCAATTGGGCATCTTTTTCGCGGACCCGACTGCTGGCTCCCTATTAAAGTTGGCTTCAATTATGCTAGACCCGGCTCGATGCTAATTTAATGAAATTTTTGAAAAGTTGCAGCCAAATTAAGTTTAAGCAAACTTTGGTTTAATTATAACAAAGGAAAAGGACCTCCAAAGAGCATCTCATCAATATGCAAATTTTGCTCAACATTTTTTTGGTTTTCGGGTCAGTCGTCAACTTTATGTGCGAATATTTTTGCTTTTAGGTAAAGCGATTGTCGATATTTGGCACACGATTTATTTAACGAGTGTTGTTTCTCGTTCGTCCGTGAACCAGTTGGGAATTATTAATGCGAGCCGTGTGAAAATTGTGCCCTTGGGTGTGGCTAGCTCTTGATAGCTCTTTAATCTGTAAATTTGGCTTCTATTTATAAATGTTTTAGCTAACGAATATTTGTCAAGTGAATACCTCTCTATTCATACATATTCATACGGATTCATTCCTCCTTTCTCAATCCTTTCTTTCTGTTTCAATAATTACAGCAACTCATTTTAGTTGTAATCACTTTATTAAATTAGTTGCTTAGCACGTGAGGCACTCGCACATGCCTGCAGGCTGTCAAGTGAGTGTATTCATTTACACTCATTTCAATCCGCAATCCCCTGACCTTTATTCATTTGGCATAAGCAAAACCCCAGACGAGCCCAGCTCAAATCTCTCCGCTTTCAGCTAACAAGTGTTGGCCATTAGGGTATCATTCGACCAGAAATGACTGTGTGTGTGTGAGTGTGGGTGCAGCTGATTGCTTGTGTAAGTGTGTGTGTGTGTGTGTGTGTGTGTGTGTGTAAATACAAGTTAATTAAACAAGCCACGTCTGCACATTAATCACCTGGACAACGGTCTGGCGCCAGGTAGCCACAAAAGCTAACCAGCAAAAAAAACATGTTAAGTTGCGGTAGTTGAGCTGGCACGACTGTCAGATACCCTGTACCCAGTTCCAAATATGTATAAGCAAATTCGTTCCTTAACACAAGTTCTATCTATTGTCACAGTGCTGTATTATAAAACAATTTTAAGCTGCTGTATCAAGCTCAACGCACGGCTGGCAGATATCCTGTAGAAAGTCAGATACCCTGTAGAAAGCCCTGTAGCCAGTTGCAACATATAAGAAAATGTGTTCTTCAATAAGTTTGGTTCTATTGTCACAATGTTTTATTCCAAGTTACGCAGTTGCTGTTACTAAGCGTGCACGACTATTAGATACCCTGTTCTCAGTTATTAACCAGTTTTTATAGAGCTTGATCGACTGTTGATCAAAAATAAATTTAAAACAAGCACAAGATGGGCCGCTGGCTGTATATGCTCTGCTCGGCCATTTTCAATTAATACAGGGTATTAGAAAGAGAAAAGTGAAATAAAACCAGAATTGAATTCAAGGCACGTGAGAGGTGACGAGCGGCGAGTCCGTTGAGTTGTGATGTGCCTTGTCCTTGCCATCATGTCGAACTACTCGCTGGGCCCGTGACATGTGTCCTTTGTGGTGTTTATGAGGTCATAAGATTAATGAGCGACAAGCTCATCTTTTGTTATTGTTTTCAGCGGCGCCTAATTAATTGCTAGCCTCTCTCTCTCTCTCTCTCTCGTCCTGGCAACGGGACACAGGCTTCGCATCCTTTACAACAATAATGCCAGCGGCTTGCCAAATGTTTTCACTTGAACCTCGCCTCGCCTCGCCTCGCCTCGCCTCGCCTCGCCTCGCTTCGCCTTCGCATTCCACGAGACATTTTAGCCCGATAAAAATAGTTGCAAGTTGAAATTCCATTGCTCTCTGATTTTCGTGGCCAATTTCCGCCGCTTGCGGCTTTTCAACTACGCCCTTGCCACGCCCACAAAATTGTCAACACTTTTTAGAAATTAATTACAATATGTACATCACAAAATACATCACATTATGGAGCGCACATCAATGGAAAATGTCTGTTGTGCGCGGAAAATTCCTCTAAGAAAACACAAACGATTTCCTTTTTGCATTTTCATAGGCAATAACAACAATCACAAATCCCAGATGATTATTGTTCGAGTGCGGCTTAGCTGGCGAGTGTATGCATACAATCCGAGGCACTGTACAATAATAAGCAGCTCTCGGAGAAGTTCAGCCAGGTCAAGTGTGTGTCGAGCATATTGATTGAGGCACTCGATTCGTTTCACTTTGCCCACAAAGGGATTACATTTGTGCTCGAAATTTAATTTGGGGCTTATAGAGCTCAATTGTTGGCTATAAAGTTAGCCGAGCACTTTTAATTATTAACTACAATTTCATTGAATTCTTTTTTTTACTTTACAACTCTAGGTTTTTAGAGTTAGAGTTGTTCGAAGGGAAAGGGGAAATATTAATATATATATTGATGATCATTTGAATAGGAAGCTGAAATTTTAACTGAAGCTTCTTTTTTGTGTCGAAATTGAACTTCATGACAGCGTTTTGGTTTATAGAGAAAATCCTTTAAAGAATGCTTCATTCAACGTGTCGTCATGAGCCTGTGTGACTTGGTTGTCAGAGCGGATCGGAAGATCGCCAGTTCAAACCAAAAGATATTTCGTCTAGTAATAAAGATAACAATAAAAATAATATCCTAATTCCACGGTCAACATTTCATACATTTTTTGTGAATGTGAAATATGTTGCCCTTTACGTTTCCCATTTACAAAAAATATTCGAATCAGGCTAATAGATGTCTGAGCTTTGAACTAGCAATCGGGACAATGCTGGTTCAAACCCTGAAGTAATATCCTAAACTTAAATCGTAGTTTAACGACAGCCCCAATTTTCTACATTCATACAAAAGGCTTCTTTAAAGTATGGAAATGCTCGCATATTTCTATCGACCGCAGCTATTTAGATTAGTTCTCAAAACCGAGATTGGCTGTCAGAAAAGTGGCTAAGAAAATGTCAGTCAATTGGTGGATAGAAAAAAAAAAAACCTTAACACGAATGTTAAACATCATTTGTCACTCTTTCTCGGCGAGTCTCGACAGTATCAACAAATCACTCAGCGAACGGCTCCTGCTCACTTGTCCAGACGAAGGACATGAACACGTGCTCATCAAGGATACTGCCGATTGGCTCTGAAAGCAAACAGCGAACGAAATCAAAAGCAGATAAGTTAAAAGTAACTTGAGGAAACTTTCAATTCCAACGTGAAGTTCGATGCGCAAAAAAGAAAACACGAAGCCAAAACGGAAGCAGACTGAGAAATGTGTATGTCCACCTCCCAAACCCCTCCCCACCTCCTTTAACTTTTCAGCTGTCGTGCATTTGAGACAAAGTTGCCAAAAGATCCACGCAAACAACCCAACTCAAGGAATATATGTATACATATATATATATATATATATATATATTCACATATATATAAAATTGCAAAAACCAAAGTTGTAACAAATGCATTTTCGATTAGCATTAAATCACGTCGCTTGTCTGACTTCATTTCCGATGTGAAATAAATATTTTACTTTGATTTATATGTGAAAATGGGGGTAGGTCAGGTGTCTGCGGAATATAGAGCAAATGGGGAGGGGACTTGCATAGTTGCAAGTCAAATGAGCCGTGTACGTGCTGTGGTTCTCACTCATTCACTCACTTCCTCCCTCTCCCTCTCCCACTCTCTCTCACTCTCTCTTTCTCTCTCTCCCTTTCTCTAAGGGGGAAAGGCTATACCAATTGCAATGCGTACGAATCGAGTTACAATAGTCAGTTGCTAGCAAGCCCGTAGGGCTTACTTGAATTCATGAGAATCGCATAGAGGGCCGAAACATAAAAAACTTTTTCTATGTTGGATAGTTGCAAGTTAAACTGGTTCTCGCTTTCTCTAGAGCAATTGCAATGGTTGGAAATCGAGTAAACATGGCCAAATGCTTGGCCATGTTATATACAAAGAAAGCTCTCTTAAGCGGACACACAGGCACAGTTACATTTAATTAAGGGTACCTTAAAATAAAAGAAAAGCCAGATAAACATTTATTAAAATATGCCTGGTAACCCTTTAAGACGAGCCTTTTAAGACGTCAGAAACATTTCTTCCATAAAAAAATGTTTGCCTAGCAAAAAAAATAAATAAAATAGCATTCGGCCTATAAGCCAATAGCAGCTGTTCGTTATTAGAGCTTTACTGTACTTACATGGAATTTACTTAGAGATTCCCAGTTGCCTTAAATGTCTATTGTTGTTGCCAGCGAGCTGCAGCGCCTTGTCGAAACAGCTGTTTTTGTGCTTTTTTTTTTAATTGAACACTCACAAACGCAGTTGGTCACACTGTTTGGCGACACGTTTGTACGTGTTGCACAACTAAAAATTTAATATACAACTTTCACTTGGCATCAATTTGAACGCTTTGCTTGCACTTTCGCTTAGCCTTTTGCGGTGGCAGCGACGCTCACAGCGACGACGACGACGGAAGCGGCGGCGGTGGCTGCTGCTGATCAAAAATGCATTCAGTCTCAGGCTCGCCGCGAAAGGACGTAGCGCACGGCGTACCGAGACGACACTGCGAACCACAACGAGACGCGCTGCATCCGAAACACGTGCGACGCGAATTAACATTCGTTTCAGACTGCACGAAAGCCCAAAGCTTTTCTTCTTTTCTTGCCGAATTCTCGTTTCAACCAACCCGAAGTCGGCAGGCGACCACCCAACGCAGGGGTAGCATTTGGCAACTCCGAAAAAGTCGCTTGCGGCGAATTGCAACAGGGGTAGACATACATGTAGTTGACTGCAAGCAGCTGCTGTTAAAATTGCCTTCGGTAACTGTTGGTTGGTGTCCGCACTAGATTATGCTAATAACGGTAGCATTATGTTAAAGAAAGTACTCTGTGTAAGAAAGTACCTTTCTGTGAACTCTAGCAGGAATGCTGTTATTGCTCCAAACTGATACTTCGCTCAGTATGTTATCCTGCTTATATTAAGTGTCTATAGTTTGCTTCTTAATAGCCGTTAAATATTGAGCTGCTGTTAATATCATGGAAAACATAACAGTTCGATTAACTGTTTATTCAAGTTATGATTTATTTGCAACAATTCTGGTAATCTTAAGATTTGTTATCCTAAAATTCTCTAGACAAGTCTCAAGTTCTTAGGAAATATTGTATGTGAATATTTCAACATTTCTAGTACGTTAACATTCATGTGAGAATGGTACCCTCAAATATCCTATATAGACATATGTAGGTAAAAATGTTCCACAACTCAGTCAAATCTCATTCGATTTTCACGAGGATTGGTTTCTCGTTCGTGGTTTTTATTCCAAACTAATCTGGCATTCAAATGTGAACACAAGTTTTTTGTTCGAATTTCGTGCCAAAATCTTACCCCAAGATTCCTATATAGACATGGTCCAAGATTTCCCGCCCCCATAACTTGGTCAAATCTTATCCGATTTTCACGAGGATTGGCTTTTTCTCCATGGTTTTCCCCCCAGATTAATCTGGCATTCAAATCTGAACACATGTTTTTTGGTCGAATTTCATGCCAAAATCTTACCCCAAGATTCCTATTTACACACGGTTCCAAATTTCCCGCCCCCATAACTTGGTCAAATCTTATCCGATTTTCACGAAACCATGCTTTTTCTTTATAGTTTTCCCCCCAGATTAATCTGGCATTCAAATCTGAACACATGTTTTTTGGTCGAATTTCATGCCAAAATCTTACCCCAAGATTCCTATATAAACATGGGTCAAAATTTCCCACCCCCATAACTTGGTCAAATCTTATCCGATTTTCACGAGGATTGGCTTTTTCTTCATGGTTTTCCCTCCAGATTAATCTGGCATTCAAATCTGAACACAAATTTTTTGGTCGAATTTCATGCCAAAATCTTACCCCAAGATTCCCATATAGATACGGGTCAAAATTTCCCACCCCCATAACTTGGTCAAATCTTATCCGATTTTCACGAGGATTGGCTTTTTCTTCATGGTTTTCCCTCCAGATTAATCTGGCATTCAAATCTGAACACATGTTTTTTGGTCGAATTTCATGCCAAAATCTTACCCCAAGATTTCCGTATAGATATGGGTCAAAATTTCCCGCCCCCATAACTTGGCCAAATCTTATCCGATTTTCACGAAACTATGCTTTTTCTTCATGGTTTTCCCTGCAGAACTATCTGGCATTCAAATCTGAACACATGTTTTTTGGTCGAATTTCATGCCAAAATCTTACCCAAAGATTCCTATATAGACATGTTTCAAAATTTCCCGCCCCCATAACTTGGGCAAATCTTATCCGATTTTCACGAAACTATGCTTTTTCTTCATGGTTTTCCCTGCAGAATTATCTGCCATTCAAATCTGAACACATGTTTTTTGGTTGAATTTCATGCCAACATCTTACCCTAAGATTCCCATATAGATATGGGTCAAAATTTCCCACCCCCATAACTTGGTCAAATCTTATCCGATTTTCACGAGGATTGGCTTTTTCTTCATGGTTTTCCCTCCAGATTAATCTGGCATTCAAATCTGAACACAAATTTTTTGGTCGAATTTCATGCCAAAATCTTACCCCAAGATTCCCATATAGATATGGGTCAAAATTTCCCACCCCCATAACTTGGTCAAATCTTATCCGATTTTCACGAGGATTGGCTTTTTCTTCATGGTTTTCCCTCCAGATCAATCTGGCATTCAAATCTGAACACATGTTTTTTGGTCGAATTTCATGTCAAAATCTTACCCCAAGATTCCTATATAAACATGGGTCAAAATTTCCCACCCCCATAACTTGGTCAAATCTTATCCGATTTTCACGAGGATTGGCTTTTTCTTCATGGTTTTCCCCTCAGATTAATCTGGCATTCAAATCTGAACACATGTTTTTTGGTCGAATTTCATGTCAAAATCTTACCCCAAGATTCCTATATAAACATGGGCAAAATATTCCACCCCCATAACTTGGTCAAATCTTATCCGATTTTCACGAGGATTGGCTTTTTCTTCATGGTTTCCCTCCAGAATAATCTGGCATTCTCATCTGAACACATGTTTTTTGGTCGAATTTCATGTCAAAATCTTACCCCAAGATTCACATATAGACATGTGTCAAAATTTCCCGCCCCCATAACTTGGTCAAATCTTATCCGATTTTCACGAAACTATGCTTTTTCTTCATGGTTTTCCCTCCAGATTAATCTGGCATTCAAATCTGAACACATGTTTTTTGGTCGAATTTCATGTCAAAATCTTACCCCAAGATTCACATATAGACATGTGTCAAAATTTCCCACCCCCATAACTTGGTCAAATCTTATCCGATTTTCACGAGGATTGGCTTTTTCTTCATGGTTTTCCCTCCAGATCAATCTGGCATTCAAATCTGAACACATGTTTTTTGGTCGAATTTCATGTCAAAATCTTACCCCAAGATTCCTATATAAACATGGGTCAAAATTTCCCACCCCCAAAACTTGGCCAAATCTTATCCGATTTTCACGAGGATTGGCTTTTTCTTCATGGTTTTCCCTCCAGATTAATCTGGCATTCTAATCTGAACACATGTTTTTTGGTCGAATTTCATGTCAAAATCTTACCCCAAGATTCACATATAGACATGTGTCAAAATTTCCCGCCCCCATAACCTGGCCAAATCTTATCCGATTTTCACGAAACTATGCTTTTTCTTCATGGTTTTCCCTCCAGATTAATCTGGCATTCAAATCTGAACACATGTTTTTTGGTCGAATTTCATGTCAAAATCTTACCCCAAGATTCACATATAGACATGTGTCAAAATTTCCCACCCCCATAACTTGGTCAAATCTTATCCGATTTTCACGAGGATTGGCTTTTTCTTCATGGTTTTCCCTCCAGATTAATCTTGCATTCAAATTTGAACTCATGTTTTTTGGTCGAATTTCATGCCAAAATCTTACCCCAAGATTTCCGTATAGATATGGGTCAAAATTTCCCGCCCCCATAACGGCCAAATCTTATCCGATTTTCACGAAACTATGCTTTTTCTTCATGGTTTTCCCTCCAGATTAATCTGGCATTCAATTCTGAACACATGTTTTTTGGTCGAATTTCATGTCAAAATCTTACCCCAAGATTCCCATATAGATATGGGTCAAAATTTCCCACCCCCATAACTTGGTCAAATCTTATCCGATTTTCACAAGGATTGGCTTTTTCTTCATGGTTTTCCCTCCAGATTAATCTGGCATTCAAATCTGAACACAAATTTTTTGGTCGAATTTCATGCCAAAATCTTACCCCAAGATTCCCATATAGATATGGGTCAAAATTTCCCACCCCCATAACTTGGTCAAATCTTATCCGATTTTCACGAGGATTGGCTTTTTCTTCATGGTTTTCCCTCCAGATCAATCTGGCATTCAAATCTGAACACATGTTTTTTGGTCGAATTTCATGTCAAAATCTTACCCCAAGATTCCTATATATACATGGGTCAAAATTTCCCACCCCCATAACTTGGTCAAATCTTATCCGATTTTCACGAGGATTGGCTTTTTCTTCATGGGTTTCCCCTCAGATTAATCTTGCATTCAAATCTGAACACATGTTTTTTGGTCGAATTTCATGCCAAAATCTTACCCAAAGATTCCTATATAGACATGGTTCAAAATTTCCCGCCCCCATAACTTGGCCAAATTTTATCCGATTTTCACGAAACTATGCTTTTTCTTCATGGTTTTCCCCCCAGATTAATCTGGCATTCAAATCTGAACACATGTTTTTTGGTCGAATTTCATGCCTAAATCTTACCCCAAGATTCACATATAGACATGGGTCAAAATTTCCCATCCCCATAACTTGGTCAAATCTTATCCGATTTTCACGAAACTACGCTTTTTCTTTATAGTTTTCCCCCCAGATTAATCTGGCATTCAAATCTGAACACATGTTTTTTGGTCGAATTTCATGCCTAAATCTTACCCCAAGATTCCCATATAGATATGGGTCAAAATTTCCCACCCCCATAACTTGGTCAAATCTTATCCGATTTTCACGAGGATTGGCTTTTTCTTCATGGGTTTCCCCTCAGATTAATCTTGCATTCAAATCTGAACACATGTTTTTTGGTCGAATTTCATGCCAAAATCTTACCCAAAGATTCCTATATAGACATGGTTCAAAATTTCCCGCCCCCATAACTTGGCCAAATTTTATCCGATTTTCACGAAACTATGCTTTTTCTTCATGGTTTTCCCTCCAGATCAATCTGGCATTCAAATCTGAACACATGTTTTTTGGTCGAATTTCATGTCAAAATCTTACCCCAAGATTCCTATATATACATGGGTCAAAATTTCCCACCCCCATAACTTGGTCAAATCTTATCCGATTTTCACGAGGATTGGCTTTTTCTTCATGGGTTTCCCCTCAGATTAATCTTGCATTCAAATCTGAACACATGTTTTTTGGTCGAATTTCATGCCAAAATCTTACCCAAAGATTCCTATATAGACATGGTTCAAAATTTCCCGCCCCCATAACTTGGCCAAATTTTATCCGATTTTCACGAAACTATGCTTTTTCTTCATGGTTTTCCCCCCAGATTAATCTGGCATTCAAATCAGAACACATGTTTTTTGGTCGAATTTCATGCCAAAATCTTACCCCAAGATTCCTACATAGATATGGGTCAAAATTTCCCACCCCCATAACTTGGTCAAATGTCATCCGATTTTCACGAGCATTGGCTTTTTCTTCATGGTTTTCCCTCCAGATAAATCTGGCATTCAAATCTGAACACATGTTTTTTGGTCGAATTTCATGTCAAAATCTTACCCCAAAATTCACATATAGACATGTGTCAAAATTTCCCGCCCCCATAACTTGGCCAAATCTTATCCGATTTCCACGAAACTATGCTTTTTCTTCAGGGTTTTCCCCCAGATTAATCTGGCATTCAAATCTGAACACATGTTTTTTGGTCGAATTTCGTGCAAAAATCTTATCCCAAGATTCCCATATAGATATGGGTCAAAATTTCCCACCCCCATAACTTGGTCAAATCTTATCCGATTTTCACGACGATTGGCTTTTTCTTCATGGTTTTCCCTCCAGATAAATCTGGCATTCAAATCTGAACACATGTTTTTTGGTCGAATTTCATGTCAAAATCTTACCCCAAAATTCACATATAGACATGTATCAAAATTTCCCGCCCCCATAACTTGGCCAAATCTTATCCGATTTCCACGAAACTATGCTTTTTCTTCATGGTTTTCCCTCCAGATTAATCTGGTATTCAAAACTGAACACATGTTTTTTGGTCGAATTTCATGCCAAAATCTTACCCCAAGATTCCTATATAGACATGGTTCAAGATTTCCCGCCCCCATAACTTGGTCAAATCTTATCCGATTTTCACGAAACTATGCTTTTTCTCCATGGTTTTCCCTCCAGATTAATCTGGTATTCAAAGCTGAACACATGTTTTTTGGTCGAATTTCATGCCAAAATCTTACCCCAAGATTCCTATATAGACATGGGTCAAAATTTCCCACCCCCATAACTTTGTCAAATCGTATCCGATTTTCACGAGGATTGGCTTTTTCTTCATGGTTTTCCACCCAGTTTAATCTGGCATTCAAAACTGAACACATGTTTTTTGGTCGAATTTCATGCCAAAATCTTACCCCAAGATTCATATATAGACATGGGTCAAAATTTCCCACCCCCATAACTTTGTCAAATCTTATCCAATTTTCACGAGGATTGGCTTTTTCTTCATGGTTTTCACCCCAGATTAATCTGGCGTTCAAATCTGAACACATGTTTTTTGGTCGAATTTCATGCCAAAATCTTACCCCAAGATTCCTATATAGACATGATTCCAAATTTCCCGCCCCCATAACTTGGTCAAATCTTATCCGATTTTCACGAGGGTTGGCTTTTTCTTCATGGTTTTCCCCCCAGATTAATCTGGCGTTCAAATCTGAACACATGTTTTTTTGTCGAATTTCATGCCAAAATCTTACCCCAAGATTCCTATATAGACATGGTTCCAAATTTCCCGCCCCCATAACTTGGTCAAATCTTATCCGATTTTCACGAAACCATGCTTTTTCTTTATAGTTTTCCCCCCAGATTAATCTGGCATTCAAATCTGTACACATGTTTTTTGGTCGAATTTCATGCCAAAATCTTACCCCAAGATTCCCATATAGATATGGGTCAAAATTTCCCACCCCTACAACTTGGTCAAATCTTATCCGATTTTCACGAAACTATGCTTTTTCTTCATGGTTTTCCCTCCAGATTAATCTGGCATTCAAAACTGAACACATGTTCTTTGGTCGAATTTCATGCCAAAATCTTACCCCAAGATTCCTATATAGACATGGGTCAAAATTTCCCACCCCCATAACTTGGTCAAATCTTATCCGATTTTCACGAGGTTTGGCTTTTTCTCCATGGTTTTCCGCCCAGATTAATCAGGCATTCAAATCTGAACACATGTTTTTTGGTCGAATTTCATGCCAAAATCTTACCCCAAGATTCCTATATAGACATGGGTCAAAATTTCCTACCCCCCTAACGTGGTCAAATCTTATCCGATTTTCACGAGGTTTGGCTTTTTCTCCATGGTTTTCCGCCCAGATTAATCAGGCATTCAAAACTGAACACATCTTTTTTGGTCGAATTTCATGCCAAAATCTTACCATAAGATTCCTATATATAGACATGGGTCAAAATTTCCCACCCCCATAACTTTGTCAAATCTTATCCGATTTTCACGAGGATTGGCTTTTTCTTCATGGTTTTCCTTCAGATTAATCTGGCATTCAAATCTGAACACATGTTTTTTGGTCGAATTTCATGCCAAAATCTTACCCGAAGACTCCTATATAGACATGGGTCAAAATTTCCCACCCCCATAACTTTGTCAAATCTTATCCGATTTTCACGAGGATTGGCTTTTTCTTCATGGTTTTCCCTTCAGATTAATCTGGCATTCAAATCTGAACACATGTTTTTTGGTCGAATTTCATGCCAAAATCTTACCCCAAGATTCCTATATAGAGATGGTTCAAGATTTCCCGCGCCCCCAACTTGGTCAAATCTTATCAGATTTTCACGAAACTTGGGGTTTTGAACATGGTTTGGCCTGTAAATCAATTTGGCATCAAAATCTGACAACACTGTTTTTGGTCAAATTCAAGTCAAAGTGTTACCGGGATATGATATATAGACATAGGTCGAATTTTCCCACCCCCATAAGTTGCTCACATCTCATTCGATTTTAATGAAAATTGGGTTTTTGATTATCGTGTGGAAAAAGCAATAAACTGTACCATTTGCTAAAGAGGAAATACAGTATACCATCAAATGTAAAAAGTACCTCTGCCGTATACCCAAAGGGAAATTAAGGTACTGTTATTGTTGACTGCCCCATCTTAGTATATTTAACATGCGCTGTTAGCATCCCCTGAAACTCATACACTTAATTCTACAGCGTTCTAAAATGTCCCAACTTGCTCACTGTTAAATTACAGTGCCCGCTAATGTAATAGCAGACTGTAAAGAGTTAACATGTACATATCATGTTATTTATAACTTTGCAATTTGTTTCACTTCAACTTTGTTTATTTATGCAAAAATCTTTCAATTTGTTAAACTTACAAATGGAATTAAAGATTGAATCGCAATTGAAAAATTGATTTATATATATATAACTGATGACTAAGCACATTGAAAGTCTTTTACTGAGAAAACGCTTAAAATTCCCATGCACACAATAACTACATACGATAAATATTAAAAAAGAAACCTTTAAATATCTAAGTAGCTAAATTCTTTTAAATTTATTTATTTATTTATTTATATGCTCCTCGTTTTTTTGTTGCTTTGAAATGCAATTGGAAATGTTTAGTTGTTTGTTGCTTAATTTAATTTCGTTGCGCGCCCAAGAAAATGCAATTGGAGAATTTTTGAAATTTGTTTTGCTTTAAAAAACAATTTAAAAATGCACAAAATTATTTGTTTATTATTGCGTGAAACGAAACTCGCGACGCGTTTTCCAAACACACAAAGAACTCAATTATTATTATTATGTTTTTTTTTTTCATTCTGACCGAAACGTGCAAAAATTTTACAAAAAATGCTCGCGAGCTCATTTACAAGATATACAAATGTTTTTTTTTTAGTTAGTTAGTTTTTGCTTTTTTCACTTTACAACTAAATGCTGATTATGTGTTTAATTTACTAATTGTAAATGTATGTATAATTATAATTTTAGATAAGCACAGCAAACCAACCGCAAACCACCCCGCCCATTATGAGTGGGGTGGCGGCAGGGGAGGGATTTTTGTTGGGCGGGGATTACATTTGCTGTTGCTTATAATATAAATATAAATATATATATATATTGTTTTTGTTTTTGCCGAAAAAGATTGCATTTAAATGGGTTTTCGCTATAAATTGCTTTGACTATGACGCGTTGTTTGGGTTGTTGTTGTTTGAGTTGTTGTTGTTGTTGTTGTTGTTGTTGTTGTTTAAGTGTTTGTTACTAAACGTGCCGGACGCTTAGAATCATTTGAGCTTGGCATAGGCGTCCACCTTTTTGTGAAACTGATTGTAGTACTCGAGCGCAGCATTGCGAGTCTGGTTCAGCGCCTGGTTAATGTTCTCCGGTGAGAAGCGTCCACTGCAAGAATTAAACATGAGTTAATAGCAGTTAAGTTGGCAGGGTATAGCAATATTTAGAGAGGGAACAGTCAGAGCGTAGCTACGTCTTAATAGAAAAGGGGTTTCTCTTCATGAACTTGCCAAGAAATCATTTGCACTAGTTTATAGATAACAATCGCCGCCCTACACAGAGGGTATTATAATTTTATCTAGAAACGTGCAACGCATAGATGGAAACATCTGCGAACCCACAAAGTGCATATATATTCTTGATCAGCATCCATAGCCGAGTCTATATAGTCTCTCAGTTTTGAAGCTATCGTTAGGAAACTCTGGAATCGTCCCTCTTTCTTTTGCACGCAGTATATATGCCAGAAGCAGCTGGATCGGACCACTATATCATGTAGCTGCCGTAGGAACGATCGGTCGAAAATGAGCTACTAGCTTGTTGAACTTCCTGGTTTTTCTAGATATCTAAACCATATTCGGCCTTAACTATATTGCCTGTGCTTCTTGGATACGGGCAAGGGTTCGGTCTGCAAGGGTATCAAATCTTCAACTTTTGTAGACGTCGCTGACTAGTTCCATTTATATATATTGCCCGATAAGAATGATAGCGGAGCACTTACACCAGCACCTTCTCCTTGATGAGCGTCGCAGATTTGTCGTAACTGTTGACAGCCAGGTCCTTGGCGCCCGCAGCAAAGGCCTCCAGTTGGTGCGAGAAATTGGGCACATATTGATCAATCTGTGCGACCGAAAGGGAGAGAGACAGAGAGAGAGAGAGACAAATGGTGAGAAGCGTGACAAACCGGTTCGGTCAAGAAAAAAAGAGATTGGCAGTTGAGATAACTTTCCAAAATCAAAAACAGTTAAAAGAATGATGTCAGCTACTCACAAACTTGGCGACCGCGGGCCATTTGGAGCGCCAATAGTTCAGGGCGTTCGTGTACGCGTTGCAGCAGGCGTTGCGGGCGACCTTCCAGACGTCGCAGCTGGTCTTGATCGCCGGCTCGGCGTAGGGCGGAACGTGCTGCTCGGCCCATTTGTAGCCGCGTGCGCTGGCGCTCATTGTGACGTACCAGCCGCGCTGCACCTGGGGCAAAATGCCGGCGTTTTTCAACACTTTCCCGGTGGCGGATTTCTCAAAGAGACCTTTGCCGTTCGCCTCGGTGTCATAGTAGAGGGCGCCGGCAATCAGAGCCACAATCAAAATGCTGCCCAGCGTCCATTTGCAGCAGCCGCATTTCTTTTTCTGCGCCGCGTTCTGTTTGTTCTTTTTCTGTTGTGCGCTGCTCTTCTCCTGTACGTTCTACGGTAGAGAGAGAGAGAGCGAGATGGAGATAGAGCATGTTAAGTCATAGGTTAAAGCTTTAACAGCTGCTGTTAGGGCTGAGTGGAATGTGAAGGAGATGGGAGGAGGGGGCTGTTACCTTCTTAGCGGCGGGCGTTTGCTTGCCCTGTTTGCTTTGTTTCGGTTTAACCTGAGCCATAATTGTATATATTTTAAATTTCAATTAAACTTCTTGCAGCTGCGAGTATTTTAATAACTGCTGTTGTTGAAAATTTGCAATATATGTTAATGATTTTTTTTTTTTCTGTTGCTTCTGTTAAAAGTTAAAAGTAATGCGCGACAGACACAATAAATGCAATTAAGCTCGCAAAAGCTTCAAGTCTGTTGTCAACGCGTCGCAATTAAAGCAGAGCTTAGACAAGTCAAACGGTCAGCGAAAGTCGCAATTAAAGAAAACGAAAAAACAAAAAAAAAAAAGAAAGACGAACGAAAAAAATGCAGAAACAATTTGCACGTAGCAAGCGGCGCGCAGCTTGACACAAACACGAATGCGGGCAAAAGGCAAAAGGCGCGCAAAGCGTCAGCGCCGGCAGCGACGCCGACCGCAACGGCGGGCTGCTGCATACGTCACAAGGGCACACACAAAAATATGATGACGCGTCATCAGCTGAGCGCGAGCGAGAGAGCAAATTTGATAAGCTTTGTTACTGTTATAAAAGAGACAACATAAGCGAATACTTTTAAATATGTATTTACACGCACACACACACACACACACACACACACACACATTTACATGTGTGCATGTAATAGAGGCCAACGGGACAACAACAACTGTTGATAATCAAACAAGTTGAATGAACTGTGCACACCGCGAACTTTTTTTCAGACTTTGTAGACTTTGCAGCGGTGAAAAGTGGCTGTCAAAAAAATGTATATATTTGCTGATGAAAAAAAAAAAATAAAGGCAAACGGAAAATGACAACGAAGCAGGTTAAAAAGCAAAAAAGAAAAACATAAAATCACAGCGACGCCACGTGCAAGAAAATGGCCAGGCATGTACAAAAAAAAAAAATACTTGTTAGACTGTGCTGCTGCTTCTTCTTCTACTTCTGCCTCTGCGCTGGCATTTGTGACGTGGGCAGTGGTCAGGCATGACAGCAGCAGCAGCAGCAGCATCGCGCGAGCATCGTTATCTCGAGCCGAAAAAAAAATGAAAATGGAATGACACAAGCTGCGCACAATCAACAAGGGTGTGCAGGAGCAGAAGAGAAGGGGGGGGTGCTGTGGAACAGCCAATGGCAGCTATAACACATCAGCCAGAAACAGAAAGCGACGCTAGATGATCATAAATACATGTAGCTGCTGCCTGCGATAAGCGCAGTGCACACACGCACACATAAATAAATTAGCGGCAAAAAGTAGTCGGGCCGCATGGCAACGCCATGCACACACAGTTACACAGGCACACACACACACGCACACGCACGCACGCACACGCGTATAATTAAGCGCAGTTTGGGCTGCAAATTAAAAAGTAAAAAAAGAGAAATTATTGAACGCCCGGCAAATGCGACGCGAGCAGCCGCAGCAGCAGAGGCAGAGAGGCGGCGGCTGCGGCGGCGACGTCAGCTTTTTTTTTTTGCTTTTCTTTGCTTTTCGCGTTTAATGCAACAGACTTGTAAATGGCGCGAATTACTTTTAACACTAGAGCAAATTCCAATTGGAATTAATTTGCTTTTCAATATTTAAGCCAGAATTATGCTACAAGCGCTGGAAAATACTTTTTTGTTGTGTAGCTACTTGCAATAAACTGACACTCAGCACGCAACGTGCACACAATGGCGTCTGGGCCATTCACACGCTGCGCACGCAAGCAAACAGCTGTCGGTGTGACCAGCTGCGTTCGAAAACGTAACCCGGTGGAGTTTCTGACGTTAGGCGAATGCTGTCCGTTAAAATTCAAATGACAAAAACGTAACGCGAACTTACCTTCAAAACCGTTGTCAGCTCGTCTACGTACAAATCTTTGCGTTTGCCCGTTTGCAGCTCGGTGTTTAGATTTTTCACATCCTGCAGAAATGCGTGATATGCCGGCGACTGGGCCAACTGTTTCGTGGACTCCGTCCAATCGTTGTCTGTCCAATAAAAAAAAAATATATCAAATCGATGCCACAAAAAAGTTGTAAAACGAAAAAAAAAAACATACCAATTGTCTGCAAGAGCACCAAACTGGAGAGCTGCTGTTTCTTATAGTTCATGCGCCACACCTTGAAGCAATCCTCCGCCCCGCTGCTCAGCAAACAGCTGATGCAGCCCTCGATCTCCGTGCGCTGCTTTTTCGACTCGATCTCGCGCAGCAGCGTCAGGAAAATGTTCGCCTGCTTCACGGGGCTGGCAATGTACAGTTGCTGCGAAAATGCCAGACAATCGTTATCGTTAAAACGTTATCGATAATTTTATCGTTATCGTTTAGGGCTACTCACCAGCAGCTGAGTGGCGCTCCGCTTGAGGCTCTGCTGCAGCTCCTTGGCAAAGTTGTTGTAGCTGGCATTCAGGGCATTGTAGCAGGCGAAGAACTCCTGCTGATTCAGCTGCAGCGTCTCGGATTTGCGTGCTGCAGCCGCAAGCAGCACACGCTCAATGTGCTCGACAACGAATTTGGTAAAGCTCTTCATCTCGAGGTTGGGCAGCATCAGGTTCTGCCAGACCTTGACGCCCTCGGTCAGCGACTGATGCCCGCCCTGCCCGATGGCCCACAGGATGCTGAGGCAGATGTTGCTGCGATTCTGATAGGAGTTGCGCAACAGCGCCGTCTTGGCCATGTTGTGCGCGCAAATGCTGGGCCAGTTCTGGCCAATTAGCTGCAGCACAAACTTGTAGCCGGCCACGGTCTGGCCGCTGTTCAGTTCTGTGGCCATGCTGTCCAGCAGCGAGTAGAAGAAATACTCTAGATTCGTTTCGCCCACGCTGCGCAGAAACTCCAAAATTGCCTGCTTCAGTCCGGAGCTGGCCAAATTGCTCGGATATTGCGCACTCCTTCCGGAGAATGTCGGATCACAGTCGTAGGACAGGACGCCGTTCAGATAGCTGGCAATCTGCAATCCGGGAAATATATTCGGGATTACTCAAGCATGCAGTCGAAAATAAGGGCAACATGTGAAGGTAAACCAAACAGGAGAAGAATAACGATAAAGGGGAAAGAGAATATATGAGGATTCACCAGATTCACGCAGTGGAATATAAGTGGAAACAAGAATGCAGTCGGAAATAGGGGAACCATGTGAGGGTAAATCAAGCAAGAGAAAGAAAAAGCTTCTAAAATGAATAAGAATAAAGGGAAAATAGAAGAGAGAGAAAGGGATTCGCCAGATTCACGCAGTGGAATATAAGTGGAAACAAGAATGCAGTCGGAAATAGGGGAACCATGTGAAGGTAAATCAAACAAGAGAAAGAAAAAGCTTCTATAATGAATAAGAATAAAGGGAAAATAGAAGAGAGAGAGAAAGAGATTCGCCAGATTCACGCAGTGGAATATAAGTGGAAACAAGAATGCAGTCGGAAATAGGGGAACCATGTGAAGGTAAATCAAAATATTGAATGGAGACTAAATGGAAGATGGTGCTGATCTTGAAGAAACTCTTAAGAGAGAAGAGAGGAGTTTATATCAAGGCTGTAACTAAACCGATTCGAAAATGGATTTAAAATATTTTTACTAAAAAACGAATGATAAAAACCAAAATAAACTGTCTATATTAATTAAACAAGAGTAAAATATAGAAGAACGATAAAAAGATCGGAAAAAGCGAATATTGAAGATTCGAAAGATTCACGCAGCGGAATATAAGTGGAAACAAGAATGCAGTCGAAAGTAAGAGAACCATGTGAAGGTAAATCAAAATATTGAATGGAGACTAAATGGAAGATGGTGCTGATCTTGAAGAAACTCTTGAGAGAGAAGAGAAGAGTTTATATCAAGGCTGTAACTGAACCGATTCGAAAATGGATTTACAATATTTTTACTAAAAAACGAATGATAAAAACCAAAATAAACTGTCTATATTAGTTAAACAAGAGAACGATAAAAAGATCGGAAAAAGCGAATATTGAAGATTCGAAAGATTCACGCAGCGGAATATAAGTGAAAACGAGAATAATTCTCTTTGGAATCAATTTTTCTTTGTCTAAATTCGCTCAAAATTTCACTCATATTGATAAAAAAGAAACTGAAACTAGGTTCTTCATTATTTGAGCTTCACATAGAAGCTCGTATATCTATCCACACACATATGAAATTCGTAATTTCAACCGTGCAACGCCGGTCAATTTTCGCTTACATTGCTCAGCCAGCGCAGCTCGGAGCCGGGGCAGCTGATTTTCACCTGCGCCACCTGCGCGGCGAAATCGTCGATCGTTATTTGCTTCATGGCCTGTTCTAGGGATTTCGCTTTCGCCGCTGGCTTCGGTTGCTTTTTCGCCGAATCTGCTCCAGTTGATTTCGCCGCATTTGGATTTGTTTTGCGTGGCGATTGCGATTTGCCCTTGGAAGAAGCAGATGCAATGCTTGATGTGGATTTTGCCGGTGAATTCGATTTGTTGTTGTTGTTGTTGCTGCTGTTGTTGCCGAATAAGTTGCGATATTGCTGTGTTGGCACTGGAAAAGTACAGTATTTACTTTTTGTTAATTGTTGCTTTTGTTGTAGGCTAATCTAATCGCTTACTGAGCTCCTCCAGCTTGGGCAGCTGGGCGGCAATGCGCTTCTGTTCCGTATGGGCGCTGACCTTCTTTTCCAGATTCTTTTGTTTGCGCGATTTGGACACGACTTCCCATTGATTGGACGCAGCGGACATTTTCGTGATGTATTTTATTCAATTAATGCGCTAATTAACGAGTGCAACGAAACTATGTCCGACCGGCTGTGTGGGAAAACAAATAAATACTCGAAACCTCAAGCTGCATACTAATTTCAGTACACGCTTGCCAACACTGACTGCTGTTGCGCTCTTTGGTGAGCGTGTACTTTGGTTAACAGCAGCCGTTCAAAAACTGGCTCTCATTATGTTAGCTTAACAGACGAAGAGCGTTCATAAGTGCCGCTCATTTTTATTTCAATGTTCAGCATTTGTCGTGTAAGAAACTTTGGTCACACTAAGGACACTATCCACTTTTTGAATTTTTATTAACGGACCGTTGCTTTTTCGTGCTTGCATTTGCCAATTAAAAAGTGTAGTAAAATAACAACAAATCATTGCATTTAATCCAAAATACCGTTTATTACGCCAGCGATAGTTTCCCACTTGCAAACTGTTAGTCTCTTAGCATCTGTTAAGTTAACAGACTAAGAGCACGCATGTTTCTTAACAGCACAATTTTCGCCGCACACCAGTATTAAAGCGTTACATTTTTAAAAATACTGGTCACAGATGCAAACTAATTAATTCGAATTTAAAACCAAACGGCAAACATTTTGTATTCACTTTAATATTAACTGTTGCACAATATTGTTTGCTCCATCAAACAAGTCTTTGCATGTGCAAAGTGCATTTGAATTGTATTCAACCCTTGTCGATTTGGTATTTTCTGTTTGTATGATTGGTAAATTTCGAGTTGATCAATTCGGCCACACTGACACAACTTAACAGCTGTTATTTTGCGTTGAATTTTTGAACCGAGCAGACGTACGTCGCGGACGCCTTGTGTAAAAACGCGGTCTACGTACAGTGCAACCATTTTGCTTATATATATATATCTATCGATGTATATGTGTGTATGTGTATATGCCAAAGTGGTGTAGCAAAATAAAAATTGCAAAAACAACAGCAACAACAACGACAAGAAGAAGAAATATATTTTGCACAAGCTTGTGAAAACTTCTAGTGTTTGTGCTATTCAGCGGCAGCAAACGACAACAACAGCAACAACAACATCGACGCCGTCGCGCTCAATTTTTTACGGCGCGCCGCCTGCTGTTTCGAAGTGCGTGTGTGTGAGTGCGAGTGCGGTTTACATGAGCGTGCGAGTGTGAGTGCGCTGTGTCTGTGTGTGTTGTGTCTGCCTAACAATTTGCCGCTAAACACAAAAGCAGCTGAAGGCAGCGAGAAGAAGCAGACAGAAGACCAGCTGACGACGACGTCGACGTCGACGTCGACAATACACACACACACACACATAGCAAAAAGTCAACGATCGATTGCGCGTATATGTGCATGTGTGCATGCGTGTGTTTGTTTATGTGTGTGTGAGCAGCAGACGAGGTGAAAAACAGAAAGCGTAGAAGAGAAAGAAGCAGAACAGCAACAAACCAAACGAAATTAAAAAAATAAATAGTGCAGCAAAGTGAAGCACGTGTGTCCTGCTCCAATAACAGTTACATTCGCAACGCGCGACAACAAACAACAGCAACAAACACACACAGACATCAAATAAAAAAAAAATGTCTTCGGTACCGCTGGCCATTAAAACGGAGGAAGTCATTTTGGAAAACGCCGAATACAATAGCGCTGAGGAATTGGATGAAGAGTTACAGTAAGTGTAGACAAGAAGTACAAGAAGAAGACGTAGCAGAAGTAAAAACAAAAAAAAAGTAAACGCAAATAATAATTCTATACGCGCGTATCGCATTACCGTTATGAATTGTGTTTGTTTACTTGAATCTCATGGAATAAACATGAAATAAACAAACTGCGCGCTTGCACTTTAGTTTTCCTCCTTTTTTATCACGCAAATTATTGATTATTTCTCAGCGCGCTCCTCTCTCTCTCTCTCTCTCTCTCTCGCTCTCTCGCTTGCACGCGGCAGACGTATAATTTTGCCGCCTGTTTTGCCGCACAAAACAAACGCGGCATAAAAACACCACCACCAATGCACGCTGCTAGCAGCGGCGCACACACACACACGCACGCACACATGTATGGAAAACGTATGGCGCTCGGTTTGAACAGACATTCCATTCCATTTCCATACCATTCCCGTTCATTCTGCCCGTTTCGTTTTGTGCCAGCGTCTCGCTGGAAAAAGGTGACGCTACTTTTTTTTTTCCTTTTCGGTTTCTTCTTTTTTTGTTTGCTCTGCCCCGCTGCTTGTCGTCTTGTTGTTTTTACGTTTTACACTCGCCATATTTGAAAAACGGCTGTTTTCTCGCATTTATTCCAGCACGCTACAGTGCCGGCCAGCATAGTGTGCACACTTAGTTATACGTAAAATACATGTGTCAAATTATGCTCGTGCACGCGGCTTGCGATCTGCTGTTGCTCTCTCGCTCGCTCTCTCAGCTGCTTCTGCGAAACAGCTGCGCTGCCAACGCTGGCTGCTGCTGCTTATCGTGACACGCTGTCTAATCAACGGCGCGTTTATATTAGTTGCGGCCAAATCAGCTGTACCGGTATATTTCTATAATCATCATATGGGCTGCGGCGGCGGCTACCTGAGCGAGCGACGCACGCACACACACACACACAAATGAGCAGCAGCAAATGATGAAAGAGAATGTAAACGTGCATGTGTGTGTGTGTGTGTGTGAACTGGAGAGCGTCGAAATGTACAGTTTTTTCTATTTGTTGTTATTAGCGAATTTTGCTTTGTTGCTTGCGGCGAAAGTTGTGCCGGCCCTTTTTTGTATTTTATCAAAATCATATGGTTACGGTCGACAAATGTCTGTTATCAGCAGCCGCCTTTCTGCTTTTAACAGCGGCACAGCATATGTTCGCACTCACACACACACACACACACACGCACACGCAGCGACTCTGACGTAAAAGAATCCAATCGCCTGCTCTCTCCCTCTCGCCCATTGGCAGCTGTGGGGCTCAAGGTTTGGCGTGTGTGCGTGTGTGCGTCGGACTTATCAATAAGGCAGGCATTGGCCCATATGTTTGTATTGTATAACTGCATGCGGCTGGGTCCCAACTCACTTTATCAACACTGTAAACCGAGCAATGCTGCAAAACAGCTGACAGGTTTTTTTTATTTTTGCTTTATGTTCATTTAGCTTTATTGTAAACTAACGCACTTCGGTGAGTGGACATGTAATTCTGGGACAGCAGTAAATATTTAGGATTTTATGCCAAAAACGCAAGCTGAAGGCATTTCGAAATGTCCATTGCAACAACAGCTGCCCGGCAAGTGCAAGTGCCTTTGCTAAAAGTCTCCAAAGCGTTGCACATGCTCTCGCATTGTTTGTCAGTGTATATGTATGTATGCGTGTGGCGTCATTTCCGTTTTCCCCACACACTGGAAGTCGCCGCAACTGCGCGGCCACGCTTGTAAATTCGCTCATAGGGGAGCACACACATGTGTGTGTGTGTGTGTGTGTGTGTGTTGTGTTTCTGCATGCAGTCTTGCCTGGCCGTACATAAGCCCGTGCTGCGCTGTGAGTGAGCGAGTCGGTGAGTGAGTCTGCTGGCATTGCACTCAAAAGCTTGTTGCTCCTTCGACAATGTGTAACAGAGGGAGAGAGTGAGTGAGAGTGGGCGCGTGTGTATGTGTATGGGTGTGTGTATGCATTTTATAAAGGGGAATTTTCGCAAAAGTACAGATGCCGCCACACAGCACAGCGCTTTTTACTACTACTACAGGGCATTTCATTGAATAAACGTATACACAAAAAGCCGCTGCCGCTGTCGCTGCCAACGCCAACACGACTGCAAAGCGTCGCGAATTTGCGAAAAAAGAAAAAAAAGATTGCCAATAAGAAAACAATATATACAGACACATACACACACACATACAAGCAAAGATAAAAGCTGCTGCGCAAATTTTTGGGCGATGGCTGTTTCATGTGTCAGGCGTTTCGCCTTGCTGTTTCAATTGCCATTGCGTTTTTGCATGCGGCATTTTTATAATGGGCAACCTGCGCGTCGTCTGCCTGAGAGTGAGAGTGGGTGCATGAGCGAGCAAGACGGTGAGAGAGCGAGAGAGGGCGAGGGCGAGAGCGAAGGAAAGAGTGAAAGAAGCGGCATCAATTCGTTTGCTTGAATTGTTGATGAAAAACACATGATTGTTTTTTGTGTGTGTGTGTGTGTGTGTGTGTGTTTACCGCACATAGTTTGACTTGCAAATTTTATTAAAGATTAACGCTAGCGTCAGCTGTGGCTGTACGTACGTCTGTACGTCTGTATGTGTGTGTGTGTGCGCGCTCTTCTATGCGGCGACAATTTGCTCCACTGTTAATTCGCCCAACAGCTGTTGTTTTTGTCACATACGCAACATGCAAAGATACCGTTTCGCCCACCCCCCCTCCTCTCCCTCTGGCACCTTGCACCTGGCACATATTCATCTCGGATTACTTCATGCGAGAGCGTCTGTTTATGCGTGCGTGTGTATGTGTGTGTGTGTGTGTGTGTGTTGTGTATATGTGTGCTTATGTAACCGTTATATGTCGCCCGCTCCGCTCTCTTATCGAATTGCAACGGCACTTTTGCAGTCTGCGTTCTCTGTTTATATATTTTTTTTTTATTGCAATTGTGGCGCCAAAAGGCCGACTAAGTATGAGCGAGTGTGTGACTCAGGAAAGAGGGGGGGGGGGTACAGGTGTGCTGTTATTCTAAACTTTTTCATTTGTTTATGCTACTTTGTTGCCTGCTGCCTGCTGCACATTACGCAAGTGGCAAAGTTTATTGCGTTTTACTGCGCATTTCGCGAATTTCTGCTGCTGCTTCTTCTTCTTCCCCCAACTTTTTAGCATTTACTACAGATGTGTGTGTGTGTGTGTGTGTGTGTGTGTGTGTACGTGACTGGGCATAAAACAATGATTGCCTTTTAGTGCAACAGTTGCTTGGCATTTCCTCTTGCTCTGTTCTCAATCATAAAAGTGTGACCATATAAAAAAATGAGGCTTCGAAATTGGGTGCTTATGCGGATTTAAGCACTGAACGGATGGATTTGATTTGGCCATGGGAAATCAGTGATAAAATGTGAATATACGGGCGGATGTAGAGACTTGTATATAGTATTCAATTCGCATTATTTATGCCAATTGTTCGGCTGCATGAGGTCACACTTTTTTGTTTATCCATCTGGTTAATATTTAATTCAAGTTTATCTTTATGAATTAAAAATGCATTTTGTGCGTTGTCTTTTCACCTGCAATTTGCAATTGGCAATTGCAGCCGACAAATTCCAGGCAAAAATGATGACGTAAGCGTTGACCCAATAAACGTACATAGTTACAAATATACACACATACAAACGTACATAAACACACATACATGCATACGATTTATGTGCAGTGCTGCAGCAGCAACAACAACAACAACAACAACAACACGTCGGCGGCACTCGTGACTTCGGCTTTGTCTGTTCCGTTTAGCTGTGCATGTACGTGTGTATGCGAGTGTGTGTGTGTGTGTGTGTGTGTGTTGGTTTGTTGGCGAAAAGTGGCCAATGAACTACATTGAACTTTGGGACAGCAGCAGAGTCGGCCCCCGGGCAGCAGCAGCAGCAGCCGCAGCTGTTGTATATCATATGTTTTAGTTGTTGTTATTGCAAATGCGGCTTCTGCAGCTGGTGAAATGCAGAAAATGCGTAAATTACAATTTGCTTATTTCAAATGTTAAAAAAGAATGAGAAAAAAAAAAATAGCAAAGACGAATGTGAAGCGAATACACGAAAAAAAGAGCTGAAAATTTGTTGGCAGTTAACAGCTGTTAAGTTGCACACATGTAAGCACTTAACAGCCCCAGCGAATTCGACGCTGTTCATTTAACATGATCGCTATTTTTAGCTGCTGTGCATGTTAATGAAGCGCAACAGCTGTTGTTTGCGTGTCTGCACGACAACAACAACAGCAGCAACAACAAACTGTAATAACATATGCATGCATAATGCACATGTATTAGTGCATATAATGTATGTGTACTTGTCAACGCGTGCTAAATAACAAATATGCTGCTGCTTCATTCAACATTTTATACATGCAACAAAAGTGCAAAACAAAAGTTGGCAACACACAAATTCCAGAGCAGCAACAACAACTGCAATAACAATAATAACAGCAGCAGCAGCAACATCCGCTTAGCCAAGTTTGGCAACTTCTCACTGAAGAATGCACGAAAAGTGCGGCATATGCGACTGTCAGATGCTCTACGTGTAAAGTAAATGCAATACAATACAAATGCAGCTTATATATTTATATATTTTTTATTTTAAATATATTTCTAAATAAATGTATGATACAATATTCTTTTAATATTCGTGCACAGGCACATCATACCCCCTACTTTTCTTTACACACTCCCAACAGGGTATCAAATACACAACACAAAATATGCTGCTGCTGCTGCTGCTGCTGCTGCTGCTGCGAACGACCTTTGTTATGGATGGTAATGGTATGTTGCTAAAAATAAACCAATGCAACCAGACGACGTCTAAGATTTTCTATCGTTTCTTGTCTTTAACGTTCTGCTGTGGCTGCGGCTGCTGCTGCTGCGGCTGCGGCTGACGTTTCTTCTTCTTGTTGTTGTTCTCTTGTTCTCTGCTGGAATGCAGTGCTGCAACTTTACACTCACACAAATGCGCAGGCATTGCGCTCTTTCTCTCTCTCTCACACACACACACACACGCACACATAGGCGCGTTTTCATATGTTTTGAGGCCTTTGTGAAAATGCTTTTCATTAGACGCACAATTGAAAATTGCTGAAGAGCACATGTGTGCGTGTGTTTTTGTTCTCTTGTTGTAAAACCTGTTTGAAATTCTTATGCTATTGCTGTGCGGCGACAGCATATAAATTCGACTTAAAACCAAAAGACACAAAAGCAACGGCAAAAGGCCATTTTTGACAGCTGTGAGCGCACTCTCTCTCCCACTCTCTCTCTCTCTCTCTCTTTCCTACTCTCCCACGCTCACGCGCTGCCGCTCTCGCTGACATGTTGCTTTTTATGCTGCTGCTGCTTCGTTCCTGTTGTATTTGTGATTATATGTACATATATTTTTTTTTTTTGTCGTTGTATTGATGCTTTGGGCAGCGCTGCCCATTGTCTGTGTGTGTGTGTGTGTGTGTGTGTGCGGCTAAACTAAAACTGAATTGAATGGAATTGTAAATTTATGAATGAATGAATGAGTTTGTGTGTGTGTGTGTGTGTGTGTGTGTGTGTGTGTAAAAGTTAATTGGTTTTGGTGCCATAAATATTCAACGCGTCTCACAATTATAATTATGATGTTTTATAATAGTTTTTACACACTCTCCTCTCTCTCTCTCCCTCTCTCTTCGCTCCTCACAGATTACAACTGGAAGATTCAGGCGGCGAGAATACCTATCACATTGAGTACACCACCGAGCCGGCGCATCAGGTTACAACCAGCTCGCAGCGTCGCCAATCGAACATGAGCGCATCGAATACAACAAAAGATGGCGGGGGAGGCGGCGGCGGCGGCGGCGATGGGGGCAGCTCGCCAAGCGGCAAACCCATATTGGATACCGAGAAGCGTATGAGAAGGGAAATAGCCAACAGCAACGAGCGACGACGCATGCAGAGCATCAATGCCGGTTTTCAGAATTTACGTTCGCTCTTGCCACGACACGAGGGCGAAAAGTTGAGCAAGGTAAGTGCACAAATCACAACAAGACGTAGCCAAAAAAAGAAAAAAAAAACAACAGTTTGAGCTGCACTGTTAACAGTGCACTAATTGGATTACTTATGTGTGTGCGTGTGTGTGGGTGTGCACGATGCACATGTATTGTTATGTTATCCATTTACGCTTCAACGCCTCGCTCAATTTCATTTACAGCAGCAATAACAAGCAGCCTTTGCGTATGTTGACAAATTGCTGGCTGCTACATTAAAATAATCGCTGCTGAAAACTTTCTCAAAAATCTGCGTGTGTGTGTGTGTGTGTGTGTTGTGCCTTTTGTGTGCACGCCAGCGGCGACGTCAGCAGCGCAGCGCAGCGCCACTTGACACATGAAGGTCCCTTTGCAAGTCTCGTTGATATGGCAACCCTTTTGTCGTTGTTTTTGTTTTTGTTTTTGTTGCGGCCGTTACCGTTTTAGGCTATCATATTTTTTTTTTTTTTCACCTTGAGACAAACATCGATTTGTTGTGGCGGCTGTGGCGACATCTTGAGTGAGTTGTGTGCGTGTGTGTGTGTGTGTGTGTGTTGGTGAGTGGGGGGGCGGCGGCAGCAGACGGCTGTAAATCAACAACGTGTCATATTAAATGGCAAAAGATTTATTTGATGCGCATACTTTCTTAAACTTTGAATTTATGACTCTGCTGCTAGACAACATTCTCTTTCGACGACTTGGCGTATTTTGCAACACTGCCAGCCAGATTTTCAGTTCTGCATTTGTGCTTTTATTTATTGCAAATTGAAAAATGTCAAACAAAACTCGCCAACATAAATCAAAGTCTAAACAAAAAGTGCAGCAAAAAGCAGACAAAAAAAAAAAAAACAGTAAAAGTCCTAAAGAGCGCGCAGCATAAACAACAACATGACAGCTCGTGTGTCAATAGGAGTTAAAGAGTTAACTTGCGGGGGGAGGGTGGAACAATGTAAACAGGAAGAAAATCGCGTAAATATCACGTTACTTGACGACGCGCGCGCAAAAAAAGGGCTAAAGCAGCGACGTCAGCAGCGGCGTTGACAGCGCAGCGCAGCGCAGTGCCTTGATGAATGACATAATGGGCGTATAACAGTCTAACAGTCATGACGTGTGCCAGAAAGAGAAGCTGGAATGAGGAGAGGGGGTGTGAATGGGTTGGCGTGTGCTCAGCTGCAAGTAGTTTATAGATTTTTTTTTTACGCTCTGCTATTGCTGCTGCTGCTTCTTCTTCTATGCAACGCCAGCGTTTTATAACACATAGTAAACATTGTAGTAGGTAGTAGTTTTTTGTGTGCAAGCGAGATGGCAATAGCTCTTCAGCTTGACCAACTTGGCGTAAGCTGAAGGGTGTGGTGGGAGGAGGGGGGGGGGGATTGGGTTGGTCAGGCTGAGACTAGGCCTAAAACGAAAACAAACTGACGACGACGACGAATGGAATTGGAATCAGGTCGCACGACGATGCAGCTCACACACACACACACACACACACACACACACACACACACACACACACACACACACACACATGCATGCAGAGCTTTTAGTTGACACAAAAGTGCGAAAAAAAAATTGCAATAATGCAGAAAGTAGCGACGGCGACAGTCGCTGCGCCATTGACAGTTATGCACACACACACACAGACACATATAACAGCTCTATGTAAATAACAGTTATGTAGACGCGAGTGGGCGACTGTGCCAAGTAGTCTGTGCTTTGCTCGCTCGTTGAGGCGGGTCATTGAACTTGCTCGCTAGGTGGCGCCAAAGTGCAAAGTGCAGCGCAAATGCGTACAGTTTGACCGCTGCTGCCTGCTGCCTGCTGCCTGCTGCGCTTGTTTTGCAGCTGAACTAACCTACATTAAAGTGTTGCACGATTTGGAGCTGTACTTGGAATTTGTACCCAGCACACCCCCCCACCCACCACCCACCACTTTATACTACAGTTTACATTGTAGCTCCAAAAATATCGATCCAGCTTTCCAGTGCGCGCCAAAAGCGCCAACAACCCCCGAGTTGGCAGCATTTCCCAACTCGAAACATCGGTGAAGTCGCGGAATGGGCAGCACTGGATGATAATACAGTGAAGATTGCTTAGAGTGAGCACGAACAGGACAATTAAAGCGAGCGAACGCAGCTAATAGAATTTTTGTACAATTCTGGGCGTTTTTCAACACTGACGAAAATTAATTCCAGCTAATGTGTGCAAATTTACTACCAAAAAAATGCACTTCAGAGTTTCGCCTTGCGTTGGGGCTCACTGTAGTCGGCGCACAGACCCAAAACATTGCGTGATGGCTCAATTATCCTGGCGCTTTGACATACCCCACACCGCTGGCACAGCTGAGAGCAACGCGGGCAGCAGGGTGGGTCCGGGAGGGGGGTGTGGGCGAATTGGGCCTGTTTCATTGCCATTTTGTTGCCGAAATGAAACATTGGCGCCTGCCTGGCGCCTGGTAGGCAGCTGTTTGCGCGATGACGATTATTTGTGACTGGAAAGTGACAGGCGGCAGGCATGGCATGGTTAGGGGAACGCCCCACCCCCGCCTCCATAGCCCAACTCAAACTCTAAGCAAGAAATTAGGCGTTCAGCTTTTTGTTGCCGCAGCTGCGCACTGGACGCGTCCTCGCGTCTGTCTGTTGCTGTTGTCGTCGTCGTCGTCGCTTCGTTTGCGGCCAAAAAGGCGTGGCAAATGGGCGACACTTGTCAGCAGTGCCCGTTCTGATAAGGAGGGGAGGGGGGGGGGTGTAAACAGTGCACTAGGCCATTGGCATCGGGCAACCTTTGCTTTGGCGCGGCATTGCAGCCCAGCAGCTGTCCGGGATGCGGCAACACCCAAACGCTACACAGATATACATACTATTATATATATATGTATGTGTGTGTGTGTGTGTGTGTGTTATGTCAGCTATGTACCGTTATATGGCGCATTATAACTGTAGCTAGCTGCATTTCGTAGTAAAAAGGTTCGCCCTCTCGCACTCTCAACGTTCTCGCTCGCACCCTTCCACGCACCCTTCACGCCCCCTTCCACGCATGCTACAAATGTGCAGCATTATCTTTGGCCACAAAATGCAATTAATGCAGCTGCGTTGGTAATTTGAAATTATTTGATGCCCCAACCTCACGGGTTAATTAAAAACAAGCTGAAAACCAACCGAGTGCCGGATACATACATATGTATGTATGTATGTACAGATGTGTCATATATATGCCTAAACTCTTCTAATGTGTTCAGACAATAGACAATATTTCTATGGGTGCAATTTAGTATCCCGATGATGTTGATGCTCGCATATTTTGCAACACTGAACAGCATTTTTTATTTGCAGCTGAATATTTGACAGATTATTTCTTGTACAGTGAAAACTCTCTCTTATTGTTGAAAGAATATTTAGATGTGACCTGATTAATAATTATTTAAGGCGTGTTTACTGTACCAACTCGATCTGTTGCAAGTGCTCGCATATTTTGCAACACTTTGACAGATTATTTCTTGTACAGTGAAAACTCTCTTTTGTGTTGTGCGTCTTAAGAAGGATTTTCATTTGTGACCTGATTAATTAATTACTGTACCTGTACATTTGGTGTCTATGACAATATCATAGCATATACATATATGTAAATGTCTGCGCGCTTCACTTAAACGCTTTATGCGGATGGTGTTGGAAAACGTTTATGCACAGGGTTGGCAAACAAAAAAAAAAAACAAAAAGAGACCGATTACTTATCGAGAGCAGCGAGTGCGCGGCACTTTCGCAAGAAAGAATGTAATAGCGGAAAGCAGAGAGCGCGCTGTGCGCAGAGAAAGCTGCAAGGCAACAAAAACAACTAACAGCAACAGCAACAATAACAGCAACAACAACAGCAACAATAACGGCGGCCTAGCAAAGCATAAGTGCAATGGATCAATTACTTTGTGGGTTTTCTTCACACACACACATACTCAGACAGACAGCAGGCAGACAAGTGTAACTGTGTGTGTGTGTGTGTATGTGTGTGTGTGTGCTTGTAAAAATGTCGGTCGGTCGTTGGCAGCGCCGTCTGTCGTCTGGCGGGCGCTTAAAGATCGTCGCCGTTGTCAATTGCAGGCTTTCAAGCTGAGCTTTCGGCTAGTTTTTTTTTTGCTTTGTTTTTGTTTTGTTTTGTTGTTGCTGCTGCTGTGTTGATTACATGGAATGCCGTCTCGCCGGATTTAATGACTGTATGTTGCGTTGTAACGGTGCTTGTTTGCTTGCTTGGCAATTTTTTGTTTTTTTTTTTATCAATGGCAGCGACTGCAAAGTGCAGCGAAAAAGTCATTAACAGCGCCAAATGGGAAAGGCGGTCTATGCATTCATTCCGTGGCTCATCTGTATGTTAGTTCCGTTCCGTTTTCGCCTGCAGAGAATCAAGCAACAACTGTAAACTGCGGCGAAATCAATGAATCAGCAACAGCTGATTTCGCTGGAATAATAAACATGCGCCCAGTGCTGAGAAAAGAGAAGAAGAAAAAAAAACAAAATATATATATATATATATATATATATATAATTTAGTTAATTTCATTTTTAATTATATAATTTTATTTAACTTAAGACTAAACGTAAGTTTAGTAAAACTATTTAGAGCAAGAAAAACATGCTGTGCCCGCTGCCTTAAAACTTTTTCCGCTAACATAAATAGCCAAAATTGATGAGAAAAAGGCGAAACTAGCAGCACTGACACACACACACACACACACACAAGCACACAACCATGAGAAATGCAAAGAAACAACAAGAGAAATATTTTACAAGCATTGTTATTTTGGTTGATTTAATACCAAAAGTCAACCGGCATTTTTGCTGCGCAATTTACACGCACACACACACACACAGAGACGGACGGACGTAGCGGCAGCGACGTCGACAGCGCTGCCAACAGCGGCTCAGCTGGTCAGGCAATAACAACAAGGTTGACCGGCAAAAAGCTGAGCTTTCCCAATTGCGTCGTTGCGACACAACAAAACAAAGCCAAGCCA